CACATCCACCTTGAATTTTGGTCGACGCGTTGGGTGTCTCTGGATCGCCTTCTCCCCAGAGAAGACTGCGGGGGGAAAGATGGGGGGGGGACTGGCCCACGGGGGGGACCCATCGACCTGGCGATCGGCGGTACATCGCCGATAGATCGGCGATCGGCCTCCGATATCGACACCTTACGTTCCTGGTCTGGGTGGGGATCCAGACCCCCCGACGCCGTGATTTTTGTTGTGACGTGACCCCCAAGAGTGTGGACCCCTTCCCGGGGACTGGTTTTTCATCCTGAATCATTTTTGACAGTCCCGAGGCCCAGCGGGGTCCCCCAGAGGCAGAAAATCGCGAAAAACATCCAGTCGCGATTCTTTCACGACGCGAGGGGGTCTGCGTCTGGGTGGTGAATCCAAGCCCCCATCGGCGATGACTTGGCGGCTGGGGGCCGATGCATCCCCCCTTCCCCCACGTGGCCCGCGAAAAATGTTGTTTTTTCACGACGTGCCCCCCTGGGGATTTCGACCTCTTCATGAGCAGGGACCGACCGTCCCAGCAATCCTATACAAGGCCTACCACGACATGTTGTTAGAATCTACAAAATTGTCTTATAACAAAAACGATGATCCTATAACCTTATAACCTAAGCCAGGTGTGTTGAAACAAGGCAGTCTCCGCCAGAACCGTTCTAAGAACATGTCGCGCAGACCTCAAACAGTTCTGAGGGCATTATTTGGTGTGCCCCCCCTGAGATCCTGCGTTGCGAAAACATGCGACATCGTGAAAAACCACGCCCGGAGTCCTAGACTCCCTATCTTTATTTTTTCGAGCTGGACCGATCTGCGAGGGTCCCGAGGCCCGGAAGTGAGCGAAAATGCTCCGTGCGAACAAAATTGCAAGGCCAGGATCTCTGCGTACAGTCGGGGCGTTGACCTAAGGAACGATAAATAAGGAACGGGGCCCCTTTTTCCCACAAGTTAAATTCCGATTTCCCATCGAAAACCAAAGGAAAACCCAAGGCAAACTGTGAAGCAATCAAGGAACACAGAGCCCCTCCCCAACGAAAAGGGTTCCTTCTTCAGGGCCCCGACTGTATAGGCAAGCCAGGAAGCTTCGCCACCGCTCGATTGCCGTCGCGGGCCGTTCGCTTCTGCTGGCCCTGGGGGGGACCCGGGGATCGACCCCCAGACGCCGATCGCGACCTTGCAGCCCCGCTGCCTTTCTGAAAGGGGCCCAGGGGCACACAAACAAATACACACACAACAATCTCAGGGTTCCACACGTTTTTTCCCAGATCTTCTGGGTTTTTGTCTTCCCCCCCGCATCCCATATTGTCCCACCTTTTCTCGGGTCGGGCGAAAGGGGCGGGAGAGCAAAGGGAGGTGGTTTGAGAATCAGCTCACTTAGCTGATTTTCCCGGCGCCTCCCGGCGCCGGAGGCGGCCATGTATCAAGGAATGGGCCCCTCGGTGGGGCCGAAAACAGCTGCATGCAGCAGATTTCGTAACCCCCCCTTTTTCCAATCCCCCCCTTTCGTCCAGCCCGATCTTCCTGGGAGTCGCCGATTCATTGCGTCTGTGTGTGGCTTCCCCTGCAGATTTACATTTTTCCCGCCGCCCGGTTCCGAAGGAGACCAGCTCCCCCGAGGCGCTGCGCTCCAGCCACCTCACGATGAAGCCAGGACGAGGAGAAATCATGCGTGGCGAAAGTACAGGGCAGTTTTTAATACATGTTTTTTTGATATTTGTTAAATGGGATTTTAATACATGATCAATTTATGAATAGATTTATGCAGGAACTCATCGTTGTTTTTAGCACTAAATCCCGGCATTTCAATACACGGTCCGCACGCGGAGCATGTATTGAAAACAGCACGGTACGATGAAACCAGGACGAGGAGAAATCATGCGTGGCGAAAGTACCCACACCCACGCCCTCGCGGTCTGGCTTCCAGGGCGCGATCCTTTGCATGCGCGGTCGCACGGCTGCGCCCCGGGCGAGAGGCCTCCGCGAAACGACGCCCCGCATATCCACGGAGCGCCGCAGCCCGGGGGCCCAGATCCGCGAGGTCGTGGATACGGATATGCTTTCCACACGCAAGAAGAACATCGGGCGAGGACAAATCGGGAATCCTCCTCCTCCTCCTCCTCCTCCTCCCTCCTCCTCCTCCTCCTGCTCCTCCCTCCTCCTCCTCCTCCTCCTCCTCCCTCCTCCTCCTCCTCCTCCTTTTCCTCCTCCTCCTCCCTCCTCCTCCTCCCTCCTCCTCCTCCTCCTCCCTCCTCCTCCTCCCTCCTCCTGAGATCCAGCGGCTCTGGAAGATGCCACGGGCGCCGCGGCCTCCTCGGAGCGTCCCCGGGCGCTCTGACAGCGTTCCGGAGCGCCCTGGACTGGATTTTTATCCCCAGACGCCCGCCGATCTGATTTTTTCAATCCGCGGTCCCAGAGGCCCCGACCCCTTGCCCGGGGTTGGTTTTTCGCACGGGACACAGATGCCGAAATTCAGGAAAATCCGCCGGGTTGAAAAATCAGATCTAGAGGCCTCCCAGACGGGGTCCGAGTAGATGGGGTCTGAGAGTCTCGCCACATCGACGACACATCGGCGATGCACTGGCGACATCAGCGTTGCATCGGCGACGTCGGCGTGGATAACAGGTGGGCCCCACACCCAGCCGCTTCGCCGATGCAGCGCCGATGCATTGGCGATGCGGCGCGACCCTCCGACCCCATCCGCGCCGATCCCATCCAGGAGGCTTGGAAAATCCTCGGATCACTGCGTCGTCCCCAGACCCCCGACGTTGTGATTTTTCCGCAGCGTCGAACTCAGGAGGCCTGGGCCCCTTCCCCGGAATCAGTTTTTTTCGTCCTGCGTCGTTTTGGGACGCTCCCGAGGCCCAGCGAGGGCCCCCAGAGGCCGAAAATGCCGAAAAGCCTGCCGTCACGATTTTTTTCGCCCCGAGCCGTCATCTGCCGCTCCCGAGGTCCGGCGAGGGCCCCCCAGAGGCCGAAAAGAAAGAAAAGCCTCTCGTCGCGAGATGTCTTCACGACGCGAGAGGGCCCGCGGTTCTCGAACCCAAAATCCAGACGTCGTGACTTTTTCACAGCGTCGACCCCCAGAGGTCTGGACCCCTTCCCAGGGACCGGTCTTCCACCTCTTCGAGGGTCCTGGGGCCCGGGGAAGGGCCCCCGGAGGCCAGAAATAGCAGATATAGCGAAAGCCCCCCCCGCCGCTCAGATTTCCTTTTGTTGGAGCGTCGGCTCGCTGGGAATACATCCTCGGGAAACGCTGGGTCCTCGTCGTATACGCGCCGTCCGACCACCTGCCGGGCACCTCCGCCGCGGCGGCCGCCTGCGGCCGCCTGCCAGGCACCTGCTCGAGCAGGGACCGCCCGTCCCGTCATTTCTATAGGCCTACCAGGAAACGTTCTTAGAACCCAGGAATGTTCTAAGAACCCAAACGATGCTCTTAGAACATAAGACCGGTGTGTGAAAAAACAAAAGACAGTCCCAGCCATAAAGTGTTATAAGAACTTTTCGTGGAATCCACACAAGGTTCTTGGAACATTACTCGGTAGGCCTACAGGTAGAGGGCTCCCAGATGGGGTCGGAGTAGATGGGGTCGGAGGATCGCGCCGAATCGCTGATACATCGGCGATACATCGGAGTTACATCGGCGATGCATCGTCGATGCACCGGCGATGCATCGTCGACGTGGGCGATGCGTCGGCGACGTCGACGTGAAGCAAGTCGGGCTCCACATCAAGCCGCATCGGCGATGCATCGGCGATGCGGCATGATCCTCCGACCCCATGTACTCCGACCCCATCTGGGAGGCCTAGATACCCAGAGATCCGATGTCGTAATTTTTTCAACGCGCGGTCGCCCGAAGCCTCGACCCATTCCCCCGGACCGGTTTCTCATTCTGAGTTGTTTCTTGACAGTCCCGGGGCCCGGCGAGGGCCCCCCGAGGCCGAAAAATAAGAAAAACCTCTGTCTCGATTTTTGTTCAATGCGTTGGATCTCTGGGTCCTCCGATCCCATCTGCTCCGACCCCGTCTGGGAGGCCGATGTGTTAAAGAGCACGAGACAGTCCCAGCCATAACATGTTCTAAGAACATTTCGCGGAATCCACACAAGGTGAAGCCAAGTCGGGCTCCACATCAAGCCGCATCGGCGATGCATCGGCGATGCGGCATGGTCCTCCGATCCCATCTACTCCGACCCCGTCTGGGAGGCCTAGATGTAGGCGAGCCAGGACGCTTCGCCACTGCCTGGCACCTGCGCCGCCGCGCAGGTCCGGCCGGCGGGCTGCTTCCCGCGGAGGCGGCGCCGGGCGGCCTCGCGCGGGGCCTGTCCCCCTCTACAGGGGGACCGTTGGCGAAACATTGGAGATAGTAAACACAGATCCCCACATGTTCAAACAGAATCCAGAAATCGTCCCCAGACTGTTTTTACTACAGGGCAGTTTTTAATACATAGGATTTTTAAACACATAGGATTTTAATACATGACAAATTTGTTAATCAATGTATGCAAGAACTCATCTTTGTTTTTGATATTAACTCCCTGCATGTTCGATCCGCACGCGGAGCATGTATTAAAAATGACACTGTATGTTTGGGTTTTCCTCCTACAGAAGGACAGGCCCGAATTCAGGCGGCCGCCCGCGGGGCCGCGGCGTCCCCGGCGCCCGGGCAGACGGCCCGCGGCGCCGCGCGGCCGCCTGGGAACGGTCCTCAGCGCGGGAGGCTCCCTCCCGACGGCCTGCAGGAGGCCCTCGCGGTCGTGGCAAAAAATCACGACGGGCGGTCTTTTGCATTTTTGTCGGCCTCTATCCTGGGCGGCCCAACAAGGGGGTCCAGCTGCAAGGAGGTGGTGCAATAGATTTGGGGCACTTGTATTGCAAACGTATCGCGCCGGAGACTTGTATTGCTTTGTATTGCAGGTCATGTGTTGCGCGCGATAGTACAGCAATGCATTTGCGCCCCGAAATGTATTGCACGCCCCAAATGCATTGCAACCCACAAATCTATTGCACCAAATCTATTGCACCACCCCCTTGTCGCTGGACCCCCTCTTGGGTCAACCCGATCTATGGGGGCCCCTCCGTTATGCTGCACCCCCAATACTGAATAGGGCCACGTCCCAGAAATACGTTCGAGCACCCAGGCAAATGTCGAAGCAATGCCGAACGAGTATCGCCTCCCAAGGCCCGACGCATCAAAACACTGCAATTTCAGTACCTTCCCGGTGTTCGAAATTCTTCCTGGTGCGTCAAAGCTAAAGTAGGCTGGAGCATCATAACCCTGCCGGGCCTCGGGACCGTCAACAAGACGATTCAGGACGAGAAACCGGTTCTGGGGAAGGGGTCGAGGCTTCTGGGGGTCGACGTCATGAACAAAATCATGATGTCGGGGGCTCTGGGTCCAGAGATCCGACGCTCCAAAAAATTAGCCTGGCGAAGGACCCAACCATACGCAATTGTGGATGCAGCAATTGTGAATACCATCTTCGCCCGCGCCCCCTATGTGGCCACGGCTTCCCGCCGGAGCCCGACATGCTCAGGGACACGTTTGTGGCCGTCTTCGCGGGCGCCGACGACCACGAGGACGGCGTCCCCCTGACCGAAGAGCAGGAGCAGGAAAGGGTTCTGAGAGCCATGAGGGAGACTGCCATTGGCGCCTCCGGTGGAGCTCCTATGGGGCCAACGATCCTCATGAGGGGTGTGCCGAAATGGCCCGAGGCCGCCATGCGAACCCTGCCACTGGGGGCCTTCGGTGGAACTCCCTATGGGGCCACGATCCTCGTGAGGGGTGTGCCGAAATGGCCCGAGGCCGCCATGCGAACCCTGCCACTGGGGCCTTCGGTGGAGCCCACATGCGAACGCAGCCACTGGGGCCTTCGGTGGAGCTCCCTATGGGGCCACGATCCTCGTGAGGGGTGTGCCGAAATGGGGCGGGGCCCACATGCGAACGCAGCCACTGGAGCCTTCGGTGGAGCTCCCTATGGGGCCACGATCCTCGTGAGGGGTGCGCCAACATGGGGCGGGGCCACCATGCGAACGCAGCCACTGGAGCCTTCGGTGGAGCTCCCTATGGGGCCACGAAGCGCTGCACTGGGTGGGTGAAACGCAGGGGGGAGGGGGGAGGAGGGGGAGGAGGAGGAGGAGGAGAGGAGGAACGCGGGGCGACGTCTCTTCAAAACGAGGACCCAACACCACAGGATGGTTGGGAATTTGTAGCGGCGGGCTTGTGGCCGTTTTCGGCCTACGGGGGCCCTCGCCATGCAACGACTCGGGCGTTTTTTTTCCAGCTTTCGGCCTCCGGGGTCCCTCGCTGGGCCTCGGGACCATCCAAAAATGACTGAGGGCGAAAAACTGGCCCCAGGGAAGTGGTCCCGACCTCTGGTGCCCACGCATCGAACAAATTGGAGCGGCCAGACGTCATGGTGTCATGGTCTATAAGACGAAGCCAGAACGAGGATACATTTGGGTGGGGATGAATCGCGAATGTCTGAGATCTGGTGGCTCTCGAGGACGTCTCGACGTCGCGGCCTTCTCAGAGCGTTCCGGGAGGATTTGAAAACGTGCCGGAACGCTCTGGAACGGATTTCCTTGTAGCACCCCAAGCTCGGACAGCAGAGCAGTCCAAAGCGCGTGAAACGCCTGTGGGGGACGCTTGGAAGGACGCTCGAAAGGCTGTCTGTGGAGCTTGCAAGCTCGAGCAAGGAATTTCGATGGAGCCCTGAGAGTCGGGCGTTGGCAGAACTGGGTTTAATGGGACCCCGCCCCGTTCCACTAACCGGAACTGCCGTCACCCGAAAAACACCAGCTACGGGAGACCTGGTTTAGTGATTGCGGTCAATTTAGAGGCTCTGGGGCCCTGCTACTGACCGGGTCCCCTTATCTGGGGCCCTGGCTATATACCCGAGAGAGCTTCGAAAGAGCTGGCGGAAAGGCTGCCGGCACGAACGTCTGAAACGAATCGGAAAACGCCTGCCACCACACGCCGCCGGCTCAAGCAGGGCGCTGCGAGGCTCCCGGCCGGGCGCCGGAGAGAGCTCCCGGGCTACCCGCATGCATGCGCTGCGGCTTCTAAGAGCCATCCGGGAACCCAGGCCCCCGACGTCATGATTTTTTCATTACGTCGACCCTGGAGGTCTCGACCCATTCCCCTGGACCGGTTTTTCGTCCGGAGTCGTTTTTTAAAACGGTCCCGGGGCCCGGCGAGGGCCCCCCGGAGCCGAAGATAGCCAAGAACCTGCCGTCCTGCATTTTTCACGACGCGATCCCAGAGATCCGATGTCGTGATTTTTTCAGTGCGCGGTCGCCCGAAGTCTCGACCCATTTCCCAGGACCCGTTTCTCATCCTGTGTCGTTTTTTGACGGTCCCGGGGCCCGGCGAAGGCCCCTCGAGGCCGAAAAATAAGAAAAACCTCCGTCTTGATTTTTTCAATGCAATGGATCTCTGGGATCATGTCTGGGGGAATATCCTCGTCCTGGCCCCGCCCGACCCTCCTCGATCCTCCCATGCAAGCGCCAAGAGCGCGCGCGGCCCGGGGCACGCGCGGGAACCAGACACCCTGCCGCCTGCCGCCCCAACCTTTGCGATGCGTGGGCCCCGGAGGTCGGGACCACTTCTTGCCTAAAGCGGGATGGGGATTGATGAAAAAAATGGGAGAGAACGATTAAAACATATAACTTTCTGCTATTCTCCACAGTTTTCTGACTGGAACAGACCGATGAAGAAAATAGTTTTCCGGCCCGCGGCCGGTTCTTCCGAATCGTCATCCCGGGCGCCGCCGCGTGAACACGACCCCCAGTCATTCCTTCATCGCCCTCCTCCATCATAGGGTCGGTCTTTCGGCCTGGGTCGTTCTTGGACGGCCCCGAGGCCCGGCGAGGGCCCCTTGAGGGCGGCCCCGCGCGGCGCAAAACAACCCGGCGCCGCTCCGATCTTCGTGGGAGCGCCGGACCTCTGCAGGAGGCGCGCGCGGCTGCTGCGGGGGCACTGGGGGGGGGGCTCCGGCAGACACTGGGGGAGGGGGGGGGGCTTCGGGCGAAGCCCGGGGGGGGGCGCTGGTGGAGGCCTCGAGGCAGGGTCCGGCGGGCGCTGGGGGCCCCGGGGGGGGTCCTCTCGGCAGCGGGGGGCCTGGAGGAAGGCCACCGCCCTGCTCCCCGCCTCCTGCCAGGCGGCCGAGTGGCCCCCCGCCTCCCAGCTGCGGAGCTGGGGCCAGCCACCACGAGGAGGCGAGGACCCTGACCCGCCAGAGTGCTGAACATTTGCGCTCCAGACCTGCAGATCTATCTGGACTGCCTCAGACCTCGGCAAGAATTAGGACGTCGATGCCCTGGTGCCATTTTTTGGCCCTCCTGGAAGGTCAGGGGAGGCGGTGGTGACCCCCCAAGCGGTGACCCCCTCTGGGCTCGCCATCGCTCGGACCGTCCCGTGCATTTTTTCGGTGTCGCGCGTGCTTTCTCGCCAGGTGGTCCAAGATGCTCCTCGATGGTCCTCGCCGGGGAACCGTGCACACGTCCGAGCGATGTCGAGTGGGGCTTTGCCCGGCTCCTGGCGGCGAGGCGGCCGACGCTGTCCTGGCCCCCGGGGACCGCGGGCGCTTGCCGCGCAGGCGGCGTCGCCTGCGGGAGGGGCGTGTGGGGGGGGGGAGGGCGGAAGGGGCGCTCCCAGGGCGCTCCAAAGGGCGCTCCAAGGTCGTCGTCGGTCGTCGTCGTAGGCGTTCTGTGCATTGCCCAGGTATCGAGTGAGGGGGATGAAGACATAGATCGGGGGCGTCGTAGAGGAGGGGGCGCAGATCGTGGCTGGCGGCATGTGCGCGGCCCAGGGGTCGGAGGGGGGGGGGCGGGGACGCAATGAAATAAGCAGAGGCGCCATGATATCTGGAGAGATATCGTGGCTCCCGCCATGATATCCACCACCCCGTTGTTATCCTCTCCCTCTTGGCCGCCCCCAGAGAGAGAGGGAGGGAGTCGCGGACCCTCCAGTCGCGTGGAGAGCTGCGGGGGGTCGCGGGTTTGGGCCAGCTGCGTCCCGCATGGTTGGTCAGACTAGCGTGCAGGCCACGCGCACGGCACCCTGCCGCACAGGGACATACCGTCGGACCCAGCCCGAAGGAGAACACCTCTGAAGAACATGAGACCCCCCGACGGCCAAAGCAACCAGAACAGCCAAGGGTACCCCTCCCAGGATGCACACGAGCATCCACCAAAGATGAAGAACACCAGGGCACCCTCACCGAACCGACCTCGATCTTGGACCTCGGTCCGACTGCAAGCGCCGAAGAAGGGAAGGAGGGAGGGGGGCGTATGGGGTCGGAGGAGAGCGGGGGGGGGGGGAAGGGAGGGGGGCGGAGGCAGCAGGACCTGCAGCGGTGCACCGGAGGAGAGCGTGAGGACGCGAGCCGGAGTTTGGCAGAGAACCGGGGTCAGGGAGGCCGATGTTGTGCCGCGCTGTGCTGCAATCTGCGCCCGCATTGGTGCCCGTGCTCGAGCTCGCACTCCCATCCGTACGCTGAAGGTTTTCCCGCGCATAGCGTCACGGGTGACACAACCACGTCGCAAATCGAAAAGGTCGCTATGCAAACCGGGAACACCGCACACGTCGACCTGCAATAAGCATCCTTATGCAATGCACCGCGGCCTGAGCAACAATTAGAGAATGCAGTCGCGACAGGAGGGAGAAGAGCGGTGGACGAACAGGAGAGGGAAGAGAAGGGAGAGAAGAGACAAACGCGTTGTGAGGGCCCATCCGTACAGTTTTTAATACATAGGATTTTCTTAGAATATGATTTTAAACACAGGACTACTTTATGCATAAATTTATGCATGAGCTCATCGTTGTGTTTAATACAAAATCCCTGCATTTCTGATACATGATCCGCACGCGGAGCATATATTTAAAAACGGCACTGTAGGAAGAATAATAATAATACTGCTAAGAAGAAGCGCCATAAACCGCTGCCGCTCCGCGCGGATTTCTGAGATCTGCGCTGGACCCCCCACACTGGCGCGCGGAGCACCAGCAGTCTGTGTTCATGGCGTGTCTCTCTAAGCAGGAGTGCGGGCGGCAGGGCCCGACAGGCGAGTCGGGCGGGCTCTCACCCTAATTGACAGGTCGGGCGGGCGGGCCCAGAACAACAACAACAACGCAACAAAAACAATCCGCACCGCGAGATCCCACATCGGCCACGCACCCAGGGACAATGCATGACCGCTCGCCCCCCTCACTCTGATCCGTTGTATATGTATATGTATAGGAACCTGTATATGCAATGTATGTGTGCATGTGTGTGTATGGGTCGCAGGGCGGGGCGTCGGCGTGCCGCAAAGCCCGAGAACCCAAAAGAAGCTTCAAGCTGCGTGTGTGTGTGTGTTTTCGCGCTTAAAACGGTCGGACCTAAGACAACATAACCTCCTTCAATAACGTGAGACCTCCCGCCAGCCCAAACTGAAGAGCATTCGAGGGTGCCCTCCCCCAGGGTGCGCAAAAACATCAAACAAAAAACGAAACACATGAAGGTACCCTCCCCCAAACCGACCTTGATCTTATGTATCGGTCCGGCCGTACTGTGTTTTGTATGCTCGTTCTTTTTATCCTTGTTAGGCAAGTACACGCGGGTGTCGTGGGTGGGTTGCGGGTGGAACGCGGATGGGTCGCGGGTGGGTCGTGGGGTGGGCCGCGGGTGGGTCGCGGGGTAGGTTGCAAGGTAGGTTGCGGGTCGCGTCACAGAGGCAGCGACGACAACGACGACAATAATCAAACCACAGTACAACATAATAGTACATCGCGCAACGCGACATGTTAGCCAGCGTGGACCCCAAACAGCGAATCATTCAGGCCTATGTGGTGCAATCTACGTGGTGCAGCCTATGCGGTGCAACCAATGTGGCGTCGTTCTATGCAGTAAGTGCGAATGTATGCATTTGAATGTGTAGGTGTCTGTGTGTGTGTGCGTGTGTGTGTGTGTGTGTGTGTGTGCGTGTGCACGCATGCGTGCATGCACGCATGAATTTATCTATGTATGCACGTACATGCATGTATTCATGTATGCATGTGTACGTATGTCTGCACATGCGTATGTATATGTATGTGTGTAGGTATGTTTGTATGCGTGTCTGTCCTTATGCATGCTTCCACGCAAGACTGCAAATATATCGGAGGTTGCGGAATGAGATCGCAATGGAACGGAGAGCCCCCCCCACTGGGAAATTGGTTTCGGTTTCGTGTTCGTGTCTCGCGTGCGGGCGCGGCGAAGCTGCGTGAGCGCGCGAGAGAAATGATACCGCCGTGTCTAGGGGCTGTGGAGCCAGTTGTCCGCCCCTCCCCACCCTAGCGCGCGGTGACCAGCGGTGTCCCGTCGGTGGCGCGTCGATGTCCCGTCGGTGTTCTGCGTCTCGGAGCAGGTCGGCGCGAGTCAGTGTGCTGGAGCAGGGCGGCGAGCTCGATAGTGATATCGTTTGGGAGATCGATAGTGAGATCCGCTGTGAGATCGATGGTGAGATCGCTTGTGGGATCTATAGTGAAATCGACAGTGAGATCGATCATGAGATCGATTGTGAGATCGATTGCGAGATCGATTGTGAGACTGATAGTGAGACCAGTTGTGAGATCGTCCTCATCACAACAACCAATATTGCCATCAACTGGTTCCTTTCCCCCCAAGCCTCCTCATCACCCGAAGGGTGGTCGTATGGGTATGTGTCTGTGATTTCCGTGTGTAGGCATGCATGCAAGGCAAGTGTAGAGGTGCGTACGTGTGTAATGTATAACGTATAGGTGTGTGCATGCCTCTTCCAGCATTACCTTATGCTCTCTGTAGCAGGGGGGAGCACTGCAACGCAATGCAACATCAGTGCGCTACGATGCAAAGCAACGCAAAGCGACGCAACGCAGTGCCAAACGAGGCAACTCGATGCCAAGCAATGCCAAACAATGCAAACCAATGCCAGGCAAGGCAACGCCATGCAACGCAACGCACCATAAACAACGCACGCACTGCGAAGCACTGCGCGCAACTGCAAAGCACTGAAACACCACGCAGCACCGTGCAAAGCAGTGCGATCAGCGGCGACGGCGGCGACGAGGACTTCCCAGCGGCGTGGCAGCGGCGACGGGCGGCAGCGGGCGGCAGCGCGCCGGGCGGGGTGACTCAATCGTCCCCAGAAGGGAGGTGAGAAGCCCTGAGTGCAGACCCTGTCTGGGGAATGGCGCCAGTGGGCCCCGCGGAACTCCACCGCGGCCACCCACCCAGTGCAGTGGAAAACCGCTCGGACGCCCCCCGTCTGATGTTACGCCGCAAGAAGATGTAGTAGTAGGGAGAGAGAGGGAGAGAGAGAGATAGAACGAGAGAGAGAGAGAGAAACCAACAAAATAAACATACAGAAAAGGGATACACATCGAGATGAGAGCGGCGGCGATGGCCAACGAGAGGGACCTAAGAACGGTGCATTATGAGAGCAACTCTGCCAAAGCAAACGTCGAGGCTGAAGAGACAACGTGGCTGGAAGCAGGGCGATACTCGAGAGGATGCCGCCTGTACTGCAACACTGCCGCCCCCATGCCCATCAATTCCGGCTATTCCGCTCTGTGCGCGGCATTTTGACGGTGGTGCGATCTACGTCCAGCCGTCTGGCCTGCGGCACTTGCCAGAGTCCTTGCTTTAGGGTGTGAGGGTGCGGGGTGGACCGTATCCTTCCTTCGGACTGCGATAGACGAAGGGACAACTTGTCTAACTTCAGGGCGTGCCCTGGACGTCCTTTTTCCCAAACAAAAAAGTGGCACGCGTGCCATAGCCCTTGCACATACAGGAGCGTGGAGGGGGAGGCGGAGGAGGTGCTCCGAGATGGCCTCCAAGATGGCTCGAGAGCCCAAGACGGTTGAAGGTGGCCCCCGTTCTGCCTCCAAAGGGCCCCAGATGGCCATACGACGGCCGCCAAGTGCTTTCGGAGCACCCTCGGAGCCCCCCCAAGAGGGCCAACTCCTTCAAAAACCACTGGACCAACAATCATTTGTTCATTGCTGCTTGTTCGCTTCCGATTGGCTTCTGAAGCCTCCAGGCTGGGCTGACTGGGGGGGGTAGATACCCGGTGCTGTGCGTACGTGCCGAAAGAAGTTGCCTTGGCGGCGGGGTCGCGCAGGCTGGTGGGTGAGGAGGAGCTGGGCTGGCTGGGGGTTGGTGGGTAGGCGATGCGGGTGCCGTGCGTGGGTGCCGAAATAAGTGGTCGTGTCGGAGGGGGCGTGCTGGCCGGTGGGCGAGGGAGAGTTGGACTGGCTGTGGGGAGGTGGTGCTGGGGCCGTGAGTTCGTGCCGAAATAAAATAGTCGGGACGGAGGGGGCGCGCTGGCTGGTGGGTGAGGAGGAGCTGGGCTGGCTGGGGGGGGAGTGGGGGGGGCGGTGCCGGCGCCGTGGGCGCGTGCAGAAAGTCGGGGCGGAGGGGGCGCGTTGGCTGGGCGGAGACAAGCAGGTGAGCTGGCTGGGGGGGCGATGCCAGTGCCGTGCACGCGTGCCTAAATAAGTGGTTTTGGCGGAGGGGGCGCGCCATATGAGGGACAAGGGAGGGCGGGACTGGCTGGGGTGGAGGCGGTGCCTTACGTGCGTGCGCGCGTGCCGAAATAACGTGGTCGAGGCAGAGGGGGCGCGCTGGTTGGTGGGCGAGGAGGAGCTGGGCTGGCTTGGGTGGGAGGCGCGGTGCCGGTGCCGCGTGTGCGTGCCGAAATACGTGGCCGGGGCGAAGGAGGCGCGCCTGATGGAGGGGCGAATTAAACTGGACTGGCTGTGGGGAGGAGGCGGTGCCGGTGCCGCGCGTGCGCGCTGGGATAGTGTCGGAACTACGGACGACCCTGTGCAAGATAATACAAGTAATGTCCATTAGTCCTTTGTGTGCCAGTTCTGATGGGAACACAACATTGTGCAAGGTGACCGTCGAACAATTTCTCACCGACACAACAACACCAGGTGACATGTTGTTTTTTCTTGAAGGCGTTCGACTGCACCACCGAGAAATTGCTTAATGCACTCGGGCAGAAATGCTGCAGCCCAGGCCGTGGGACGAGCAGCGTGGTCCCTGAGGCCACTCAAGGTTTGTTCTTGTGGGGGGAGAGAAGCCTCGCCCTGCCGTGTGCACCGCTCCCCCTGATCCAACAACGGCGCGCGAAGCCAAGTTGCTTCATCCCGTCCACTGTGCTCCCAGCTATTCTTACCTTCTGGCACCTCAACGTTTTCCCTCCTCCTCAGGCGCCCCCCCCCGTCACAGGGTCAACACGCGCTGCGGGGACAGAACTCAACGGCGGCGGCAGCGCATGCTGTGAGCCGGCCCCAGGGAGGAATGAGCTGACAACCGACAAGCCCCACCCACACACACACACACGACCCGCCATTGTCCAGCATACGGATAAGATACCATTGGGCTGGCTGAAAGACGCATGGCAAATCCCGTGCCTCTCACATACAAGCAAGCCTGCCTGCTCCGTACCTGGTCTGATCTGTGCAGACCCTGCGCATGCAACGCCGAAGAGGTGGCACGCACGTGTGCATATCCGGGCCAGAGAGAGGAGAATACAGGGCAGCGCAAACAACCGACGTGGCGGCCTGCTCTTGATCTGACATGACAGACCACCGCCTATTTCTAGCGGCGTGGGTGTTACTCTGCAAACCAAGAGATCATGAGAAGAGGGAGGTGGAGGATAAGGGGGAGGATACACATGATATCAACACAACAAAGATGATTCGGATGAAGGGGAGGAGCATGAGAGAGGCGGGAATCAAAAGGAGGAGGAAGAGGAGGAGGAGGAGGAGGGGAGGATGAGGAGGAGAAGAGGAAGAGGGAGGAGGAGGAGGAGGAGGAGGAGGAGGAGAAGTCCGCAGATCTCCACAGACGTTCGACCACCATTCGATAGAACACTTACGGCCTCTGGATCGGAGATCCCAAGCCTTCGGCTTGGGACACATACAGCAATGGCTCCTGCTTCTCGTTCTCCTTTTCCTCCTCCCCCACTCTTTTTCGTCGTCGTCGTCTCCTTCTCCTCCTCCTCCTCCTCCTCGTCCTCGTCCTCCTCCTCCTCCTCCTCCTCCTCCTCCTACTCCTCCTCCCCCTCCTCCTCCTCCTCCTTCTCCTCCTCCTCCTCCTGCTCCTCCTCGTCGGGAAACGAGGCCTGAACCCTGAGGCGCTCCCTCGAGACGAGATCTTTTCATCCTGAGACGAGCGCGTTCTGCTACTCGCAGAGGTAACCACTCGCAGATGGCCTGGGTACGCCGCGGGGGATCTGCGATGAATTACATCAAAGCCGACATATGCTTTTCGGACGTTTGCGAGTGGGCACTTGGCGAGTAGTGGAGCGCGCTCGGTGAATCCTGAGTCGTTTTCCGACATTCCTGGGGCCCGTGGAGGGCCCCCGGCAGCCCACCACCGCGAAATACATCGGGGCACGTCTCCCTCAGGATCACCACCGCGAGAAATTCCAGAGCGGCATCAAAACCCACGGCGAACCACGGCGAACCACCATGGCGAGAAAGCCCAGGCGGCGAAAAAGCCAAAAACGGCGCAAAACCCTCCAACATGGCGAAACATCATGGCGATATCAGCGACGGATGGTGCTCGAACCGCTGGCGCCCAGCAGGCCGGTCCCCCCCCTCCCGGGAGACGCATCCCTCGCCCGCCGTTCCGCCCTCCTCTCCCCCCTCCCCTGCCCTCGCCATCGCTCGAATACGTCCATGCCCAGTGCATCCTTGCGGCTTCGCGCGCGCGCGCGTTTTGTCGCGCGATGATCCAGGATGCTCCTCGCTTCGGGGGCGCGCAAACATGGACTAGCGATCCATGGATTTGGCGCGCGGTCGCCAAATCCCTGGATCGGGGGAGGCGCCCTCCCCAAAAGGCGACCGGTGCCACCCCGCTCGGCGGCGGAACTCCGCCGACGTCTCCTGGAAGCGGGGCCCGCCGCTCTACGCCCCCTTGCTCCATGCTTGCGATCGCCCGGGCATGTTTGTCGCACGGTGGTCCAGGATGCTCCTCGATGAGGAAGCTGGGCGAGGGCTGCTAAAACTTGGTGGTCTCCAAACCAGGTGGTGAGACACCCGGTGGTGACCCCGATTCCCCCAAAAAATAATTCTGGGTCGCCACCGGGTTTGGGGACACGCGATCGCCACGAGGTTTTGCGTTTCCAGGGCCAGCCAGCGCTCGAAAAACATTACCCAAATCGCCCAAAACTCACCACCGGGTGTTCTCACCACCACGTTTGCGGACCACCAAAAAACCGTGGCTGCTTTATAAAACTGCCCTCCCGGAAGGAAAAAACAACTTCCCGGAATGAGGCGCGGCACGCGGAGCAGTCAACGGGCTTCTTCCCGGAAGGACGAAGACAACTTCCCGGAGGTCGATTTTAGCAGCCACGGATTTAGCAGCCCTGGCCCGGCTTCCGATCGATGGTCCTCGCCAGGAAAAACAAACGTACGCGCCCAAGCGATGCCGAGAGCCCCTCGCTGCTCTGGGCTCCTCTCTGGTCCCGGGGTGCCGAGCCGCCCCTGACCTCTGTGCGTGCCGCCTCTCTCGCGGCAGGCGTCGCACGAGAGCTGCGCGGAGGAACAGGCTCCTCCTCCTCCTCCTCCTCCTCCTCCTTCGCCTCTTCCTCCTCCTCCTGCTCCTCCTCACTCCTCGTCCTCGTCCTCGTCGTCCTCCTCCTCCTTCTTTTTTTCCTCCTCCTCCTCCTGCTCCTCCTCGTCCTCCTCCTGCTCCTCCTCGTCCTCCTCCTCCTCCTCCTTCTCCTTCTCCCCCTTCTCTTGGGGCTCCTCCCGAGTCTGCAGCACATCATGCAGGCCAGCCGCCTTCGCGGAAAGCCCGAGGTCGCTACTGGAGGCTGGTTGGGGCGGCGGTGGAAGCGCATCTTGCCGCGACTTCCCGGGTATGAGTGATGTTGATGCGGAGGCGATGTCAAGCCGAGCTTGGACTAAGTCCCGAGATAATTTGGCACCAGAAAATGGCACCGATTTGTATGTGCGGGGCGTGTTCTTCCCACACGCGAGGCGGTCGTGTGTTTGGACGCCCGAGATGGGCACGGAAAAAATGGGTACACTGCCCAACAGCAAATGTTGTCCAAAACCAACAGCAGCCGCTGTTGGGCAGGCGGCCTGCTGTCTCAAATGTACACAGGCCGCGGCGACACCGACAGCGACTCCTGTTCAAAATGAGCAGGAACTGCTGTTGGGCATTGTACCCATTCTTTCCGTGCCGAATGTGGATCTTGAAGCTGACCCGTACAGTCCTCATTGTGGTGGTGAACGTGGGCCCTCGGTTCGGCTTTATGTTGCCGAGTGTGCTGCGTCCGGCGACTTCCGGAAGCAATTAAGCGACTTGTACTGTGTTCCGATGAGTTGGATCCAACAGTCGCGGGTGACAGCGGCCTCGGGGTTGATAACCTCTGGAGCGAATCGAGTTCGTGCGCGAAGGAATGAGCTGATGGCCATGACACCCTGCATGGGATTGCAGAATGTTTCGAGTCGTACCCTGATAATGATTATCGTCGAAAGCGAGGTCGTCGACTGTGAACCAGTGGGTTGGTCTTATGTTTGTGCCGTCTTCGTTCGGCCTCCTGCTCGTTTTCAGCTTCCTCAACGGCCTGCTTCTCACAGCCTGCATTCGGATCCGCCCTTCTCCTTCTCCTTCTCCTTCTCCTGTTCCTCCGCGTCCACTTCTCCTTCTCCTTCTCTTTCTCCTTCCTCTCCTCCTCCTCCTCCTCCTCCTCCTCCTCCTCCTCCTCCTCCTCCCTCTTCCCCCCCTCCTCCTCCTTTTCTTCCTCCTCCTCCTTCTCCTCCTCCTCCTCCTCCTCCTCCTTTGGCTCAAGCCATTTTGGCTCAAGTCCTCGGCCTCTGGGGGCCGAGGACACCACAGCATTTCACTCCTGGTCAGGTCCAGGAGCTTGGGGCTCGAACATTTCGCGTTCGCTTCCGCCCCCAGAGTTTTCGGATCATTCCCCACCAGTCTGCCATGCCTGCCACTCCTGCGAAGGAGCACCTCTCCATCGTAATCTGCGGGCATGTCGACATCGGCGAGAGCACCACCACCGCCCGCCTCAACTACGACCTGGGCGGCCTTCCAGAACGCGAGCTGGAGAAGCTGAAGGAGGAGGCCGTATGCCTAGTACCAGGCTCCATCGCCTTCACGTTCTACATGGACCGTCAGAAGGAGGAGCACGAGTGCGGGGTGACCAGCGCCTGCACCACCCAAGACTTCTACACCGAGAAGTGGCACTACACAGTCGTCATCGATGCCCCAGGCCATCGCGATATCAACAAGGACGAACACCTGCAGAAGAAGTCTGACAACATGGGCTGGTGGAAGGGCTGCGATGTCAAGTACGGCAAGGACTGCGCCACCCACAGATACAAGCAGTTCCGCTATGCCGAAATCGGAAAGAAATGAAGATCATGCTGGTCAAGGACGGGTGGTAAAAAGACTTCGAAGAGAAAGAAACGCCTGCGATGCCAGTCTCCGGCCGGATGGGCGACTACCTGCTAACGAAGTCTGACAACATGGACTGGTGGAAGGAATGCGTCGGCGAGTACGGCAAGGCCCGTGCCATGCAAAAACATCCATCATAATCGATCCAGGATGGTTTTACCTTTCCCCGCTTGCCGTCTGAGGCAAGCCATGCTGCAATTAGGGCTCGCTCCTGCCCTTTGCATTTCGCTGCCCTTTGGTGCATAAGAATCGTGGGAGAGGCCCGCGGAATTAGTCTTCCCCGCTCTCCGTGATGAGCCGAGGTCTGCATCAGAGTTGCTTTGAATTTCTTGTCTTGTGCACTATTGCGGTGTGCACCCGTGCAGTCGTCTTGTTTCTAAGTGGCACTGTGCTTAGTATGTGTGCCCATTCGATCAAAGCTTGTAAAAGACAGACCGTAGAAGTCAGTAAAACAGGTTGAGAGCTTCCCAGAAGGGTGGTGCTTCCCTGAAAATCATGCACGGCAGCCCTGACAGAAGGGAGTGGCTCGGCGATTGGAGCTCCGCCGGGTCCTACGGCCCATCCCCACAGCGGGATCCCTGGCCGCGGGCGGCTAGTAGTCACCAGGCGAACGATCCCCTCCACTACGCGCTGATCCTCCTCCTCCTCCTCCTCCGCCGTCCTCCTCCTCCGCCCTCCTCCGTCTTCTCCACCGTCCGGTCCGTCCTCCCTCCTCCCTCCCTCCCCCCTCCTCCTGGTCCTGGCCCCTCTCCTCCGCCCTGCCCTCTCGACCCCCACCCTCTCCCTCTCCTCTCCCGCCCCTCGGCATCGCTCGGACGTCCATTCCCCCCGTGCGCGTTTCGATGCCATTTTGCTTGTTTTGTGTTTGTGTTGCTTGTTGTCTGTTTCTCCGCACGATGGTCCAAGACGTTCCTCGAGGGTCTTCTTCGCCGAGGAAGCGTGCACGCGTCCGAGCGATGCCAAGTCCCCCTGCCCCCCTCCATCACTACACAATGTGAATTCTGCTCTCCCCTCTCCCCCGAAGGCCCCGAGGTCGTAGCCTGCCCCCCTCCGATTATTGCTTTTCTATTCCACATCGGATCCCAAACAGGTGATCGATTAGGTACGTGTTTTTCCACTCCAGACGCTTTCGGTGTTTCCAGAATGGCGCTCCCGCTACAGCGTTGGTTCTATTTTCTGGCTCTCCGTCCTTCCAAGTCATACTCCTGCTGCAACGCTGGCCTCATTTCACGGTTCCGGATCTTCCGAATCGTGTTCCCGCAGCAGCGTTGGCTCTCATTTTACGCTTCCGCTCTTTACGAGCAGTCCCTTGACATGTTTCGTCTTGCGTCGTGTCTGGTTTCCGTCAGAAGCTGTTGTTTAAATGAATCGTGTTCTCGACCAACGGTGGCTCTCATGTTACGCTTCTGGTGTTTTCACACTGTCCATTTACATGTCCCGCCCAACGTCATGTCTGGTTTCCCTCAGAACCTGTTGTCGAACAAGGACCGTGTTCTCGACCCGACCACCCTCCGCCGTGCTCTTATATGCGGTGGTGCGCCGTACACTACCATGCATCTCGTACCCTCTCGGGATCATTGCCCTGCCCGACGTCCGACTGTGCGAATCGAGAGGAGATCTGCGCCATGGCAAGGGGAGGGAGGGGCAGGACGTCAGATAAGACGCTGGCGCACCTAGCTTGCCGCCTCTCCCCTCTTCCCCCCCTCCTCCTCCCCCCCCCGTCCCCTCCCCTCCCCTCTTCCGCCCTCCCTCTCCTCCCCCACCCCCCCTTCCCCGCGAACCACGTGCGCCCACGACCGACGCCGACGCCCCCACTCCCCCCATCGCACGACCACGGCGGGGCGGGCCGACGGCGACGCCGCCGCGCCGCCCCCCCTCATCCCGCCTCCCCGTGCGAAGCGCGCGGCCGAGGCGGTGGGCGGCCCGAGGCCCGAGGGGGGGGGGCGACCGCGCAGAGCGACCGGCGGCGGCGCGGCGCGGTGCCCAAGTGTGTGGGGGGGTGGCCAGCGGGTGGAGGGAAAGAGACACGTGCACCTCTCGTGCTCCTCCTGGGCCCCAGGGGGGCCCCCCTGTTCAGGGAGCAAGAAGGGGGGCACCCTTCTTTTCGTCCCCCCCTCCCCCCGCACCTGTTCTGTCAGCGCGCACAAGAGGGGTATGGGGGAGGGGGGGAGGCTTCCTAGAGCGAGGCTGCTTCTTAGAAGGCGCTGGCCCCACGCCCACAGGGGATGCCCGCACCTTCTGAGAGAAGCAGGGGTGCTTTCTACGAAGCCTCCCCCCTCCCGCTACCCCCCTTCTGCGCGTGGCCGACACTCCCTGAGATCCGACGTTGCGAACAAATTGCAACATCGCAGCAGATCATCGCACGCGGCCTGGACCCTACCTTTCTGCGCCATTTTTCGAGCTGGATCGATCTGTGACGGTCCTTGGGCCTAACATTGAGCGAAAATGCCCGTGGTGAAAAAAATGCGAACGCCAGGATCTCAGGGTTTATCGCTCCCCCTGACGCAACGCCCGCGGCGCGTTCCGCCCTGGTCGCCGGGGCCTCTCGCCAAGTGCGCTCTCTCGACGCCGCGGGCGCCCCCGCGAGCGGCCGAGGAGCCCCGCGCGAGCGGCCTCTCTCGGCCGCCGCCCCGCCCGCCCCTTGGGACTGGCGGCCTCAGGCCGCGACCTCGGGGTGGGCAGCAAGCCACTCGACCTGCGGAGAGGCCGGGGAGGGGAACGCCACGGGGGGGCTGCCCCGTGTGCGGGGCGGCGGCGGGGTGGCGCGGCCAGTCCGGGTCGCTCGGCCGTCGCTGTGGCCGTGATTGGCGGGGGTCGTTGTGGTGGTGGTGGTGGTGGTCGTCGTCGTCGTTGTCGTCGTCGTCACGGCCGGCCGTCGTCGTGGTTGCCGTAGCCGTCGTCGTCGTCGTCGTCGTCGTCGTCGTCGTCGTCGTCGTCGTCACGGCCTGCCGTCGTCGTCGTCGCCGTGGCCGTCGTCGTGGTAGTGGTGGTCGCCGTGGTGGTCGCCGTCGTCGCAGTGGTGGTGGTGGTGGTCGTCGTTCGTCGTAAGAGGAAGAAGCAGGAGGGGCAGGAGGGTGAGGAGGATGAGCCACTAGCCACGGAACTGCTATTTAGCACTCGGCCAGCGGGCAGGGGGAGAATCATCATGATGATTTGGGAGGAGGATGACTAGAGTAATAAGCCCAAGGTGCAGCAGCGATGCTGCCATACACCTCCTGTCCCAAGTCTCATCCTCACGCGTCCCTGCATGTATTTCTTTCCTTCTCTGCTGCAAGACATGCGTTTGAAAGACCAACACCACATGGGGCAACCATCTTGGCCAGGGCCCCGCTTGGAAACGGAACTGCATTTCATCGCTCTGGCGCGTGGTCAGTACTTCGAAACAAAAAAACTACGACCATACAACTCGACGAATAAAATGTAGTGATATCCCTCTTTCAAGGAAGTGGACCGCCCCCCCAACTGTGCAACATTGGTCAGGGCCTTCGAAGACATCTCAATCGATAACACAGGCGGCGCCCTCGCTCCGCGCAGCCCCTATAACATGTCTTGCCTCGCAGCTCCGGGTCTGCTCCAACACGGAAGGTCTCGAACGAGAGAGCCCCACGCTTCGACGGCTAGCTGCTGCAACCGACCAGCCATCACTGGGGAGCTGCGGTCCTCACCCCCCTGGGGGGAACCCATCGCCTCGACGATCTCTCGAGAGGGGTGTCGAAATCGAGGGGTCCCCGGGTAAGGACCGCAGCTCCCCCAGCTGTGGCTGGCCTGCTGCAAGCTTCCTGGGGGGCGGCTGCGCGCGGCGCTGCGGCGAGAGCCCCATTCTGAAGCGAGCTGTGCCCCCCTCCTCCTCCTCCTCCTCCTCCTCCTCCTCCTCCTCCTCCTCCTCCTCCTCCCCCTCCATCCTTTTCCTCCTTCCTGCTCCTGGAAAACCGGTGCCGGCCTGTGCATGGAACCTGCGCGGCGCCACGGCGAGAGCCCTACTTTGAAAAGGAACCGCCTCGAGCCCTGGAGCGCTACTGCATACTGTTGAGACACAAGCGCGTGGTGCTGGGGCCAAAGTCCCGTTTTGAACGCGGCCCCCCCCTCCGTCACTGGAGGTCTTGAGGCCTTTTGGGACGAATGCGCGCGGCGCTAAGGCGAGAGCCACACATTCAGAACGTCCCGCCCTCATCCTCAAAATTATTGCAAGCGCTCACAAACAAATGCGCGCGGCGCTGATGCGAGAACCACATGGGGGAAAAGAGCCAACCGCAGCCATGAATCGAGGATGAGGAGGAGGAGGATGAGGAGGAGGAGTCAAGACTGCGCGCGGCGCTGAAGGGAGAGCCACAATTCGGGAGGGAACCGCCTTCCACCCCTCAAGCTGTTGCAGAACTTGGCCAGGACGAGATGTGCGCGGCGGTCTGACAAAAACGAATCTGCGCGCGCGGCGCGGAGGCGAGAACTACCTTGGAGCCCCGAAACGGTGCGGTGACAGACCGTGCGGTGACCTCGAACCCCCCCCAAGACCTCACCGCACGGTCCGTCAACGCACGGTTTTGGGACCTCGGAAGACCCTGTCGCCCGAGACGTCCTCGGAGAGCGACCCGAGTCCCAAAACCGTGCGGTGACTCCGAATCCCCACCGACCCACCACACGGTGTGGTCACCGCACCGTGTGGGGGCCACCGAGTTGCACTTCGAAAAAGTGGCCCGCCGGGGCTCGAGCTTCCGGGTCTGATCTTGCGTGGCGAGGCACGTCTCGAGCAGAACGTCCGGCCCGCCCTGCATACGTACTGACACGTCCGGGGACGCGACAGGAAGGAGTTGCTTCGCACGGAAACGCGATGCATGGGGTCAGAGGAGGAGGAGGAGGAGGAGGTGGAGGAGGAGGAGGAGGAGGGGAGGAGGAAGGAGGAGGAGGAGGAGGAGGAGGAGGAGGAGGATAGGAGGAGGAGGAGAAAGGAACAGGAGGAGGGTGGAAGGAGGAGGAGGAGGTGGAGGCGGAGAGTGATGAGGTCGGGGTGGGGAGACCGATGGGAAAAGGGCTCGGGAGAGGATGCTGGGGAAGGGGCGGGGTGAGGATGGGGGAAGCGTATGATGGGGGAAGAGGTGGATGATGGAAATTATGAAGGCGAAGGAAGAGGGAGGACGAGTGGTGGCATGGACAAGGGATGAGGAAACAAGAGGAGGGAGGAAGGAGGGCGACGAGAGGGGGAGAAGGGTTAGAGAGTTGAGGGAGAAGAGGAGGAGGTGGAATAGGAGGAGAACGAGGATGAGCTACTGGACCTCGGCGAAGGAAGAAAGGGAGACGGACATAGGATGAAGGAGCAAAAGTGGGGAAGGGTGAGGAGGAGGAGAGGGGAGCTCCCTTCCTGCTTCCTCATCCCCCTCCTCCTCTTTTTCTTTTTCCTCCTCCTCCTCCTCCTCCTCTGCGAGTGGGAGGAGCACGAGGAGGCAGAGGAGGAAGCCTCGTTGTCTTACCCTCTTGACTCCTGTCGAGGAGGAGGAGGAGGAGGAGGAGGAGGAGGACGATCAAGAGGAGCAGCACGACATGCCAGCGAGGGCGATGTGGATAAGAAGGGTAGATTGCCCAACCCTCCTGTGTTTGGTACTCGTTCTGGATAGACCATTGCGGTCTCCAGAACACCTCACTCACCCAGTCACTCACTCCTCCTCCCTCTTCCTTCCTCCCTCCTTTCTCCTTCTGTCTTTTCTTCCTCCCCCTCCCCGCCGCATCTTTGTTCCCAACCCTCCTGTGTTGGGTACTCGTTTGGCATAAAGCACTGTGGTCTCCACTTTCTCCTCCTTCTCCTCCTCCTCCTCCTCCTCCTCCCCCTCCTCCTCCTCCTCCTCCTCCTCGTCCTCCTCCTCCTCCTCCTCCCCCTCCTCCTTCCTCACTCCATTCTCCTCCTTCTCGTTTTCTTCCTCCTCTCTGCCTCGTGACCTCGCCGTTCCCTGAGGTGGCTGCGATCTACGAAACCACTTTCGTGGGCTCCTGGGAGATCCAACGGAGGGGTGTCCCACGGGGACCACCTTAAGACGTCTCCCTGGGGTAGCTGCCATGTGCAAAACTGTCGCCACGTTCGTGGGCTTCTTGGAGGTCCAACGGACGGGTGTCCCACGGGGACCACCATGAGACCTCGCCGTCCCTGGGGGGGGGCTGCGATCTGCGAAACCGTCGCCACTTTCGTGGGCCCCTGGGAGGTCCAGCGGGCGGGTGTCCCACGGGGTCCACCATGAGACCTCGCCGTTCCTGGGGGGGCTGCGATCTGGCACCTGGGGGGTCCAGCGGAGGGGTGTCCCACGGGGACCACCATGAGACCTCGCCGTCGCTGCGATCTGCGAAACCGTCGCCACTTTCGCGGGCTCCTGGGAGAGACCACTATGTGACCTCGCCGTCCCTGGTGGGCTGCGGTCTGCGAAACTGTCGCCACTTTCGCGGGCTCCTGGGATGTCCAGCGGAGGGGTGTCCCACGGGGACCACCATGAGACCTCGCCGTCCCTGGGGGTCTATGGTCTGCGAAACTGTCGCCACCTTCGTGGGCTCCTGGGAAGTCCATCGGAAGGGGTGTCTCACGGGGGCCACCATGCGACCTCGCCGTCCCTGATGGGCTGTGATCTGATCTGCGAAACCGTCGCCACGTTCGTGCGTTCCTGGGAAGGGGCCACCATGAGACCTCGCCGTTGTCTGGGGGGGGGGGGGGCGCGATCATTTGCGAAACCGTCGCCACTTTCGTGGGCTCCTGTGAGGTCCAGCGGGGGGGTGTCCCACGGGGACCACCATAAGACCTTGCCGTCCCTGGGGGTCTGTGGTCTGGGAAACCGTCGCCACTGTCGTGGGCTCCTGGGAAGTCCATCGAACGGGTGCCTCACGGGGGCCACCATGAGTCCTCGCCGTTCCTGGGGGGCTGCGATCTGTGCAACCGTCGCCACTTTCGTGGGCTCCAGGGAGTCCAGCGGACGGGTGTCCCACGGGGACCACCTTAAGACCTCGCCGTCCCTGGGGGTCTGTGGTCTGCGAAACTGTCGCCACTTTCGTGGGCTGCTGGGAGTCCAGCGGAAGTGTGTTTCACGGAGAGCACAACCTCGCCGTCCCATGGGGGCTGTGATTTGCGAAACTGTCACCACTGTCGTGGGCTCCTGGGAGGTCCAGCGGAGGTGCGTCTTACGCTGATCACCATGAGACCTCGCCGTTCCTGGGGGGCTGCGATATGCGAATCTGTCGCCACTTTCGTGGGCTTCTGGGAGGCCCAGTGGAGGTGCTTCTTACAGAGATCACCATGAGACCTCGCCGTCCTCTGGGGGACTGGGTTGCGACGTTGGGGGGTCCAGCGGCGCTGCTCCCACGGAGTATAAACTTCCAAGCGTCTCTCCTTACTGTGTTTCCACACCCCCTCGTGGCCGCCTTCCTGCTAACGATCTTACTCTAAAGAGCGCCGCCGCATATGTGAACATGTGACTCTGGCCCGAGTTCTTTGGCGAATCGTTCAGGGGCACGGCGGATCCTTCAGTGTTCGCTTTTGCATTGAGCGGTCCGATGCATAGTCGCTTCATCTGTGCACAGGGTTGGGTACGTCCCCGGGTAGTGATATTGGGGCTTTTCTTCGTTGCTGGGCACCTTTTTGTTGGGAGGGTTCCGCTGAGTCGACGCGGCGCGCAATGCAATCCCACGGTTGAAGCTGCACAGGGCCACGGTGGTTCCTCCCCGACCGAC